TTTATAGAAATGAAATTTGAGATGAAGTTTTTTTTTAAAAAAAAATTAAGATGATACAAGTACTTTTTTTACGATATTTCACATATATTTTAACCTCTTAAACAAATAAATTCTAAACAATACAATTAATACTAAAAAAATTATATAATGAAGAAATAATATATAGTCAAATATTGTATGTACAATTAATAAATCAAAAGTATTTTCTAGTTATGTTGCCGAATAGTCAATTTAATGTTCACAACATTTTTTTGTTGACAACCAAACAATCATAAGCTTTTTAGTAACAACTCTTTTTGAAAAAGCTCTACTCACATTAGTCGTGTCAAACACACACATACTCAATTGAATAGCTTCGACTACCACGAAACATTCACCATGGTGGCAAAAATAAGTGCAATCAGAATCTGCTATCTTTGGCAACAAATAAATATTCCAATTCGATGTGAAAAATGCATTTGTATTCCACCAAGATATGAACAAAAATCATGGAAAAACAAGGTGTTCAAGCTTCGAAGTCACCACAGGCTTGGTACCAAGCCAATGATAGAAAGGGTTTCTTCCGGAGGTGGTTCGTTAGAAATTCTTATCATCGGCAACCTAAGATTTTTCTTGGAACAGAAGTTGCATGGTCAAATAATGAAATTAGTCCAAAATCTTCTCCAAAGAGACATGTATGCTCAGCAGCAACGAGCCCATTGATAATCCTATAGAGCCAAACCACATGTCAAGAGAAACGAAGGATGAAGAGTTGACTGATTCAAGGGAAATTAATTTATTTGTCACATACTCTTGGATCACATCTTGATGTTGTTTATAGAATCATTAGATATTTTAAAGGCGCACCACTCAAGAGTTAGATTCATGTCGATAGAATGTCAGCTATTGGTTATTGTACCTTCATGGAAGCAAGAAACAACCCCTCGTTACTTGCTCTAACGCAGAAGCAGAGTTTAAGGTCATCGCTTAAGGCATATGTGAACTGCTTTAGTTAAAAATCGTTCAATAGGATTTGAAGGTGAGAGGGAAAGAAACGATGATATTTTATCGTGATAATAAATCTGGTATAAAAATAGCACATGATCCAATTTATCATGACTAGAAGAAACATGATACACATTTCATCAAGAGAAACTTGAATAAAAAAAATAATTGCATTTATCATAATCGACTTGTAGATTCGCTCATGATAAGTATAGTTTCTACACTTATTCAAGGTCTTAAACCATAATATTTTACCGTTATTTGGATAAAATACTACCTAACTTATTTTATATTTCATTTTTTAAGTAAAACTCAATGTTTGATGAAGAATTGGAGAAAAGAATGCAAAGATAGTGGAAAATAATTCAATTGTATCGAATACAAAGTTCGAGGACTGAAATGCAAATACTTAAAAGTTACGTCGAACCTCACGATGAAGATTTGAGAGTGTTAATTATCAATTGGATGAGGAAATAAATCAAAGGAATGAAATATAGTCCAAGTACTATCACATATCAACTTCTAACCGAAAAAGTTATACTTCAAATTTTCAGTGTTAGTTTGAAACCTAATTTTGGTATAGGAAATATTCGAATTGGAAATATTGTGTGTCTGAAAGATTTGTAGATCTTTGAGTTATCTTTCCAATGCACTTTGAATTACCTCAATTGGATATCAAGAGAGAAAGTTATGACAAATTACTGAAAACTGTTCAGCTGTCGGAAATTAAGCGAGACGGGTGCCCTAGGTTGCACTAGGCCCGCGCCTCAAGGCTAAACGAGAAAAAATATCACTTTCCTTCTTTTGTTTTGGTAACAATTCAATACAATCTTTTCGACATCCTTTAAATATCAAACTCGACCATGACGGGAGAGGAGACCTCATTTTGACATAAAAATCATATATTCTACGTATTTTGGATGTGCAGAACAAGTCTATATATCAATTCAA